GTGTGTGTGTGTGTGCGCGGCCCAGCTCAGCCCACCAGGGGGCAGGGCTGGCTGGCATGTGGTGCTGGGGGATTGAACCGTGGTCCCTGTGCTTTAGCTGAGCTTGTTCTAAGTTGGTGCCTTAGACCACTGAGCCAACTCACCAGCCCCTCCCTGCAGTCTTGAAAATGTATAGAAGCAGGAATGGAGACTGAGGCTGGGCCCATGAATTGAAGAAACCACAGCAAGTGGCAGCTATGTCTAGGGACTTCCTTGGCACAATGTTACATGGCACATGAACCAGAGGAAACCAAAGAGATCATTTCAAGTAGACTCATTGCCTAGAAACTTTGTTTTTTATACTTAGAGAAGTCAGTATTTTAAAGCTGTCTGACAAGGTAAAGGAAGATGCCAAAAATTTAAAAAATTGTAATTATCAACCTCAAACCAAAATGAAGCACTTAATAAACCAAACAACACCTCAGGGACAACATATTTGGTATGCTTGTGCCCTCCTAGAAAATTTTACCTTGAGTTTGTCTTGTAAATGTTTTATAAGGAGTATCCTTTCCTGGGCTAGCTGAGCTGAACTGGCCTACAGGCCTGTTTTTGTTTTTTATACATGGTCTTTATTTCATGGCAGAGATTGAAATGGCATAGAAGCCTCCAGATTACTACTTCTCAAGAATGCAGTTGAATCTGAAAGTCCACTTTCAGAAACCCCCAAATAAAAACAATCATAAACATTAAATCTGGATGCAATGTGACAAGGAGGGAATGGCCTGTAACCCTATTGAAGAAGACACAGAGAACAGGATGAAAACAGAAAAATGGATAGTAATTCACAACTTGATTGTACCTTATTTTGGTACATTTTCAAACTTGGGCTGAGTATAGTGCCCAGGGTGGGATGAAATGGCCTAAATCTAAAGAAACAGGAAAAGGGACCCTTCCTCATTTGTTGCAGTCTGACTTTGCCTATCTAGAGAAGCTCTTCTGCTGGCCCATCTGCAATTATCTAATGTGTGGATGCCTTCAATTGCAATGAAAGGTTCCAAAAGCCACTATAGACTTGTCAATCACTAAAGGATATCCATGGACTACAGATGAATTTTAACTTAATTTTATTGTTCAATTTTAACTTAAATTACATGTTTTGTTTTTGTTTTTTGTGGAACCGGGGATTGAACTCAGGTCCCTGCACTTGCCAAGGAAGCACTTATTCCATTGAGCCATCTCCCCAGCCCTTAAATTACATGTTTTAAAATCACATGTTTTGAATGTGTATGGGACTATTGAAGATGTATTGTTCGTTTCTAAGCCAGAGAGAGAGAGAGAGAGAGAGAGAGAGAGAGAGAGAGAAAAGAATAGCTAAATATGTGAGTTTAGATTTTACTTTATTTTTTTATTTTTTTTCCCGGAACCGGGGATTGAACTCAGGCCTTTGTGCTTGCCAGGGAAGCACTTATTCCACTGAGCCATCTCCCCGGCCCCTTAGATTTTATTTTAAAGGCAGTGAGTGGGCTGGGGAGATAGTTTGGCAGTCTAAGCACCTACCTGGCAAGCACAAAGTCCCAAGTTTGAGCTCCAGTACCGTATGCCTACCAGCCCTGAAACTGGTCATGGTGCTACATGCCTTGTTATCCCAGCACTGGGGAGGCTGACATAGGAGGATCACGAGTCCAAACTGTGGATCGAGACCCTGTATCAAAAAAAAAAAAAAAAAAGGATATAAAGGCAATTAAAATTAGTGGAAATAAATAAAGGAGTGACATAGACTTTTTTTTTTGGTGGAACCGGGGATTGAACTTAGACCTTTGCATTTGCCAGGGAAGTGCTTATTCTACTGAGCCATCTCCCCGGCCCCATAAATAGACATTTTTTTCAAGTTTTGGTTTGTTTTTTTTTAACAATGGAAAATTTCCAACAAATACAAAAGTAGAAAAAATAATATAAAAACCTGGATATGGGTTTAGGAGGCACCTGTAATCCCAGAACTTGGGAAGCTGAGGCAAAAAGATTGCCATGAGTTTGAGGCTAGTCTGAGCTACATAGCAAGTCCCTGTCTCTGAAACAAAACAAAACAAAAAACCCAACCTGGATGCGTTCATTTCAGTCATTAGTAATTATCATTATATAGATAATCTTTATGTGTCTGCACTTGGGCTAGGAAGATAGCTCAGTAGAACAAGCGCCTGCCTGGCAAGTGCAGGGTCCTGAGTTCAATCCCTGGTACCACATAAATAAATAAACCTTAAAAAAAAAAATCAGCATGTGTCTACACTTATCAAGCCCCATTTCCCAAATTATTTTGAAGTACCTCTCAAACTTTGTATCATGGGGCCAGGGAGATGGCTCAGTAGAATAAGCACTTCCCTGGCAAGCACAAGGACTTGAGTTCAATACCTGGTTAAAAAAAAAAAAAAAAAAAAAAAAAAAAAAACTTGTAAAAAAAAACCCAACTTGTATTACTTTACATAATCATATTTTTAAGAAGATTACTCTCACTGCTCTATAAAGAACAGGCTGTAGGGAGATGAAAATGGGAGCAGGGAGAGGAGAGTCATTTCAGTAGTCCAGGAAGGAAATGCTATAGAATATGGTGTTGGGAATGAAATGGTAAACGAAGATTGGTAAAACTCAAGTAGATTTCAGATGTAGAATTTATAAGGCCTATGGCAGACTGAATTTGGGAATCAAGGAAAAGTGAAGCAAACCAGGCATTGGGGCCTAGCAGTTGGCCATTTAGGGTGCCTTTCAGTAAGAAGGGGAAGGCTGGGGGTGGGTGTTGAGTGGATCCCAAGGAGGAACCAGGACAGACTGGAAAAACAGATTTGGGAGCCGTCAGTTTGTTGGCAGTTGTTATGGCTTGTGTCTAGATGTCTTACAAAAGCCTCATGCAGTCATAGATGGGACTTTATAGAGATGGCTAGATCTGGAGTGTGGGATGCTGGGTTAATTCATGTAGCAAAAAATTAAGGGTGCCCCACCCTGGCTATGAGTGCTACCTGCCCTAAGGGAAAGTAACCTGGATAGAGTATGACAGACAGAAAGAGGGCTGCTGTGGTTACTATCTGTCACTTGCTACTTTGTTGCCTTCCTGCCTTCTGCCTGCCATCTGCTGTTTCTCTCTTGTGATGCCCTTCTGCCATGCCACCCTGCCTTGGAGCCAGCTAACTATGAAAGAAACCTTGGACTGGAGGGGCCAGGAGATAGCTCAGTGGAATAAGTGCTTTCCTGGCAAGTGCAAGATCCTGAGTTCAATCCTTGGTACCACCAAAAGCAAAACAAACATAAAAACAAGGTATAAAAAGTAAAGCCTGGCTGGGGAGATGGCTCAGTGGAATAAGCGCTTCCCTGGCAAGCGCAAGGACCTGAGTTCAATCCCTGGTTCCACAAAAAAAAGAAGAAGCTGCCTTTTGGGCTGGTGAGATGGCTCAGTGGTCTAAAGCACCTACTTAGAACAAGCTTAGCAAAGCACAGGGACCACGGTTCAATCCCCCAGCACCACATGCCAGCCAGCCCACCCCTGGTGGGCTGAGTTGGCCACACACACACAAATAAATAAATAAAATTAAAAAAAAAAAAGTAAAGCCTGGGGGGGGGGGGCGGGGAGATGGCTCAGTGGAATAAGCGCTTCCCTGGCAAGCGCAAGGGCCTGAGTTCAATCCCCAGTTCCACCAAAAAAAAAAAGCCTGGGGCAGGGAGATGGCTCAGTAGAATAAACACTTGCCTGGCAGTGCAAGTACAAGGGCCTGAGTTCAATCCTGGTTCCGCAAAAAAAAAAAAGTAAAACCATATTAATATGCTGAGCTGTAAAAGGCTCAAGTCAACAACTTCTGAAATTTCCAGTCCTATGAATAACCCACTACTATTATGGATTACTGGACTATATTGGATTATTTTGCTGAATTTACACACCTACAATATTTAAATGGCAATGGAATACCCATCTCTGACAAAACTAAACAAAAGGGATATAAATGAAAGACCATTTTGTATCTGTATACACAAAATAGGATAGATATACATCTACTGTCTCTTAATTCAATGAGAAGAAAGATTTGTACTAATAGCGTTTGGACAGGATATCATGTCTGCATCTTATACTATGAATAACTACTATGAAGAGAACACTATGCAATGTATTAATTATTGTAATTGTCCTACTAACCTGTTTCAAAACTGTCTCATTGCTATTTGTTTCTCAATAAAATTAATAAGAAAAAAGCACAAAGTAAACTTAAAAAACAAAAACAAAACAAAACAACAACAACAAAAACCACCTCAGGCTGAAGAGATAGCTCAGTGGCCTAAGCATCACCTTCCTGGCAAGCACAAGGTCCTGAGTTCGATCCCTGGTCACTTCCCCCCACAAAAAAGAAAAAAACAAACAAACCAGAAATCTCTCCTTTAACTTCGGATGTCAGGTACTCTCACTCAGCAATGAGAAAAGCAACTAAGACAGTAGTATTAAAGCTATGACACTGAGTCAGATCAACTAAGGAGAGCAATAGAGATGGAGAGCAGAAGGAGCCCCTAGTCTAAGTCTCAGGACACTCCACTTCTTAGAGATCAAGAGGGAAGTCATTCAGTCTGGGAGCTTTGGAACTGGTAAGCACTGTTCTCAAATAGCTCTGTATACATCTCCTTATCTGTGATATTAGCCCTTGAGACAGAGGTGACAAAAGTTCTTTCCTGGTTCTTTGCATTGACCTAAAGGAGTCCTCAAACTGCCTGAATAACCAGGACCTTCCCTTTTAACAACCCTGCTTGTTAAATATTAAGTTCACTGATTATGAGGTATAGAAGTTTAAGATTGCTAGATGTGGGACCAGCCAGATAGCTCAGCAGATTAAAGCACTTGCTTAGGCAGACACAGGGACCAGGGTTTGATCCCAGGCAGGTGTGCCAGCCCTGCCCCTGGATAGCGTGGGCATGGTGGCATGAGCCTGTAATCCCAGCTCTTGGGAGGCTGAAAACAGGAGGATCGCTACTAGTCTGATCTGTGTAGTGAGACCCTGTATGAAATACATAAAAATATATAAATGAATAAATGATTGCTAGGTGTGGTGGTACATACCTGTAATCCTAGCACTAGGGAAACTGATGCAGAAGGATAATAGTGAGTTTGAGGCTAGCCTGAGCTACACAGTGAGTTCAAGACCAGCCTGAACTACAAAGTGAGAGAGGTCCTGTCTCAAACAAACAAATATAGAAATTTGAGATCTCAGACTCCAACAGCAGCCCATTTCTACCTTGACCCCATCTCCAGTCTCCACTTGCCATTTGTCTTAGCTACAGTGGACGGAGTGGTCATGTCTTAGGGAACATAAGCAGCTATCTGGTCCTATAGAAGGACGGGCTCCTGAATCCCAAAAGTAAGTAGATGATGCAATAGAACAGCTAGACAGAAGCCTACCTTGTCCTTGCCTCAGGTGTTCCAGAGTGGTCAGTCGCTGCCTATCCCCTGGCCTGCCTTCCCAGAGCCTCAAACCAATACCCAAGTATTATGGAGATACATTCTGGGAGAATCTCACCCAAAGATCCAGGTGAGTAGAAAAAGAGAAACTGGAGACTGACTGGGACTCCGAATACCAGACACATTATTGGGTGAGGTCACCAGAGAAGCAGTATTGTATGGGTTATTCTCTCTGACTCTGGCCCCATTCTTGTGCCTCACAGCCCTATCTGGATGGAGGAACAGTACATTCCACCCATGCTGGTATGATATACTACACCTTTCAACACTTTTGTGCTAAAATTGCACCTAATGCCTTAGTGTCCCCAGCTGTCCATTTTTTTTTTTTTTTTTTTTTTTTTTTGTGGAACCAGGGATTGAACTCAGGCCCTTGCGTTTGCCTGGGAAGCACTTATCCTACTGAGCCATCTCCCCGGCCCCCCAGCTGTCCTTTTTATCCCTTATTTCTGGTAGTTCTCAACCAGTGCACTGACCAGACCCTCCTTCCTGGGACTCAGGCATCATGTCTTTTCCATTTCACATCTGGGCTTCCCAAGACTCCTGACCTCCAAGTTCAATCCAAGCTTCCCCAATAGACCTTCTAGCTCCTTTTGCTCATTTTCTGGCACAGAGAGCCACTGGTTGCTCCCAGCCTGGCCTATATCCTCCTGAGGGGCTCCCACCCCCTGAGATGCTTTGCAGAAGAAAGAGAAGGAGGCCCAGATTGGACAGAATGCATCAAGGATCGGGGGGCATCCCAGCGCAGGTGAAGGCCGTTGCTTACCACCTGGAGGACCTGCGGAGGCGCCAGAGAACCATCAATGAGTAAGGAGGTGTTCATCTGGGCTTTGGGAGCCCAGGAGGGTTGGGGCAGGATGGTCTGAGCTAAGCAAAGGACAATTTTGAGAGAATTGGAGATTATTTGGAAAGCAGTTGTGGGCTTGGGTAGAACTGAAACAAAATTTCTATAAGGTGGCAAGAGTGACAGATGGCAAATGAGCCACAGGAGCAAGAAGGAGTTGAAACTGGATCACTAAATATGGGCAAGCATACCATGGAACTAGGGGAGCTAGGGGTCACCTCTGGGTCCCTGGACTGAAAATACTTCAGTCTGGGGGGGGGGGATGTGCACAGAAAACCAGGACTGGTAAATTGAAGATCCTGTGACAATATCCTAGGAGCCCACAGGAAATACCTCAAAACAGAAAGAGGAGGAATACAGAGACAGGAAGCCTGGCCTGCAGGCACCTTTCTCCTAAGCCTGAAGTCTCCACAGACTAAAGAAGGCCCAGTGGGGCACCTCTGAAGATGCACCTGAACCACTGGAGGTTCATGAAGAGGGCTGTGGATTCCTCAAGACCAGCGAATACCCTGATCTGACAAAGGAGGAGTCAGCCTATCCACAGGGAGAGGACCATTTTATCAACCCTGGCAGGGCCCAGGTATGGCTGGAGAACACCTGCGTAGGGTGGCGGGGATGTAGATCCCTGCTCTTGCACAGAGAAATAGCAGAAACCAAGAGCCAGGTTGTATAGCTGGAGATGAGAGAAACGAAAATAAAGTAGGTGAGAGCCAGCAACTTGGGGAAAAGAGTGCCTGAACCAGGACATCTGGAAAGGGCTGTATTTTTCCATCGATTCATTTTTCTTGCTTTTTTTTTTTTGTTGTTGTTGTTTTGTTTCTCAAATACAGTTGCTGTGGTCTCCTTGGAGTCCCCTAGGCCAGGAGGGGGCTTGCACTTCCAGGCAGCTGAGCTCTGTGGTCTACAGCACTGTCACAGCCAGGAGGAACCCTGTCCACTATCCCTGGGGAATTGAGTTGGAGTCGGAAGAGTTAGGAAAACACCATCCAAAACACCCGTGATGTTTTAAAGGCCCCAAAACCTGTTCTATCACCAGAACTGTCCCACTGTTCGCATCAAAGAGATTCCCCTTCCTTTGCCTCTCCAACTGCCCTTCCTAGTCTCCAGACTAAGCATTCATAGCCCTGTTGGGGGTTGCGAGGGTGGGATATAGCTCAGGGGGCATTAGTGCTTTCCTGCCAAGTACAAGGTCCCCAGTTCGATACCCAGTACTGTAAAAAAAAAAAAAAAAACAGCCCCGTTGGGCTTCCACCTCAATCGCCCCTCTCACAGCAATGCCCTAGCCCAGTTTTCCATTAAGCCCAGTTTTCCATTAAGCCCGCTTCAGGCCCTGTGTTCCTTTTCATGTTTTCTGTTATTAAAGGGCAAGCAAGTAGAGCTGGGAGTTGTCTGTCTCTCTTCGAATTAGTGATGAAGAGGTTAAACTGGAAGGAGCAGGCACTCCTTTCACCTTATGGAGCACCCTGCTGCAGAGAAGTCGAACTGCGCCCCCAAAGTCAAAGAGCCTTAGTAGAGGCTAGAAGCGTCGAGTTTCTCACAGTCTGTCGCTCCACTCCATCCTCCCAGACCTGGAGTCACCGCCCGCAGTCGGTGGAGCTTCCGCCTTTGGGATCTGGACTTGGCCCCTCAGCAACATTGTCCCTTTAGGGACTTCCAAGCGGGCTGCTTTGCGGCCTGACCCAGGGGCCCCGGAGCCGAGTTCCTCGGCGCAATCCCCCCAGTCCCACGTGCGCTAACCCCAGATCCCCTTCCCGACCCCCATCCCCTTAATTGGGAGGCCCCGCCCCGTGCGCAGTGACGTTGGACGCTGCTGTCAGCCGGCGCTGGGGGGGGTCGGTGTGGGGGTAGAATGGCCGCTGCCGCCGTCACCCGCGGGACCCCGGGAGGTAAGCGCCAGGGCCTGTCGCCCGCCTCTCCGCCCCCGCGCCAGGGGGCGCAGCTTCACCTGGTCGGGCCTTGGAGCGCGGCGCCCAGGACCACCGTCCCTTCTCCCGGGTCCCCTCCCCGCTTCCGTCCTCCTCCCCCGCGCCAGGGGGCGCCGCTCGGCGCAGGGCCCCACTGAGGTCCTGTGCGTGCTAGGAACTGGCCCTGAGACCCCCGCACCTGGCACCCACACTGCCTCTCACTCGTCGCCGGCTCGAGAGGGGACTGCTTGAGGCTTCTCCAGAACATCCCTGTGTGCAGGAGGGAGCCTCCCACCTCGGAGGTTCTCCCGGGACCCCCGCCCTGTCATGGGGATCTCCCGAGCACCGGGCGTCCCAGTCCCGTGTCGCCCCCTGGTCCCCAGCCTAGATCCTACTCCCCTCTTCACCCCGACAGGCTGCCTAGCCTGGACTGCGCACCTGCGCCCTGGGGCGGAGTCCTTACCCCAACCCCAGCCTCACAGTACGGCTGGCCGGCTGAGCCAGACCCGGCCTCCTCCCCTCTGCATCCCTGACACCTGGTGGAGCCCGCGCGGAGAGATTCCTCGGTCCCATCTGAGGGAGCTGAAGGCTGAGGCTGAAGGGCTGAGGATCAGGCAGGAACCGGAGCGGTAGAGGGGGCTAGGGTAGGCCTGGTAGCCAGGGAAGGCAGAGGTATTTGGAATCTAGGTGCTAGTGGGCAATGAGGATGGTCCCCAGGATGAGAAGCATGAGAAGCTGTGTGTTTAGCCCAGTTTCTACCAGGCCCTGACCAACCTGGAGGAGAGAGAATAGGTGAGGTCAGTTATCAGATCTGTCCTTCCCTTTGGAAAAATCAAACAGAGAAGGAACCCAGGGTGTGTCTTCCAAGGCCCAGCTCTCCACCCTGACCTACACTTCCCACCCTGCCCCAGCATTCAAACTTTCTTGTCCAACCATCCTCCAAGGCTTGGATGCCTTGAGTCTCAGCGGCTGGGACCAGACCTCAACATAACCTCACCTGCTGCAAGGGCCCAAACTATAGGGCTCTGAGGCTCCAGCCATGACAGCCTTCTCCCCTCCCCCACCCACTTTTTTTTTTTCCTGGTCAGTCCATTCTGTGGCATCTTGGTGTCCTGTCTCTCCACTTCATGTTGGTACCTGTACCATATCTGGGTTCTCCCTTACCTCCATTCCCTGGTTCTCCTGTCACATCAGAATCTAGCCCCTTTTTCTTCCTCGCCTTTTTGAGATATGAAGATACTGTTGTGCATCCTTTACCCCACCTTATGGTCCTCATCATGGATTAAAGTAGAGGCTTCTGCCATGACCTCAATCTCTTTCCAGCACGGACTCCCCCTCCCCCCGGCCCCTCAGGCCGGGGGTGACCTTGCGCCCCCCCTCCCCCTGGAGCCCTCACCATGAATACCAAGGACACCACTGAGGTTGCTGGTGAGTTCACAACGTGGGTTCCCAGTTTGGGCACAGCCTTTATGTTCTCATACATGGTAGCTCTTTGATCCTTGAATTTTTCTGCTCTTTGTCCTGGTGGCAGTTTCCCCCTTTTTTCCCTGGGGTGCCTCTCTCACACGGGTGCCAGAGCAGCACACTAAGCCTTTCCTTCTGGCTCCCTCCAGAGAACAGCCACCACCTGAAGATCTTCCTCCCCAAGAAGCTGCTGGAGTGTCTTCCTCGGTGCCCACTACTGCCTCCAGAGCGACTCCGGTGGAATACAAATGAGGTTTTCTAGGGAGCCTGGGGGTTAGGGCCCAGCAAGCCCTAGTGGGCTGGAGGACAGTGAGGCTTTCTGTCTATGGATACTCCTTAGAGCACTTTTGTAGGCTCTTAGAGACTCAAAGGCAAAGTGTAAATACCTGAATCTTGTAGGAGTTCACCTTTTGGTGTATCCTCCTGGGTAAAACAACAGCTACCCCAATAAGTATTTCTGACATGCTAAGCACTTGGCCTTTACTATCTCAGATTATTACACCCACGTAACTGATGAGGAAACTGATTTACCTCTTGGAGTTTATCTTACTGAAACCCCTGCTTTTAACCACCACTAATGCAGGCTGCTCCAGAAGGGCACAGTCCTTATGTTAGATACCTTCACTATCCTGCATATGTAGAGCTTTTTATGCAGTTGTGAGTTGATAGTCATTGATTTGATATGAGAACTGTCAGTAAAAGGCTATGTGTGAACATGTGATTGTTGCACATAATATGGGCCTTTAGGAAGAGCCAGGGTGGCTAAAGGGACCATGGGCCATCTGGGAAGCCTATAAGATGACTGGCATTTCCAGACACAGGGGGATAATGCATGGCACTTTAGGCTGTTAGATGCTAAAATGCAGGGGGTGACCATTTAGGGCATGTTCAGGGAGGAATCTGTGGCCCCATGTGGCAGGAATGGTAAGTGGAATATGGCACATAGTGGGAATGATGGTTTGAGACCTTGGAGCCAAGCTAAGGAATCTTGAATTCTTGGTTAAGCCATTGAAGGTTTTTTCTCAAAAAAGGTTATCAAGTGGGATTTGGAAAGAGTACAATCATACATGATATGAAGAATGGATGATGAACTTGACTTAGACATAGGCTCCAGCTGGGAGGGACAGGAGAGCAGATTAGATTTTGTCTGTGATTGAACCTGAAATTCTTAAGAGGGTAGTGGGGCCAGGTGTGGTGGCACATTCCTATAATCCCAGCACTTGGGAGGCTGTGGCAGGAGGATCCCTTTCAGTTCAAGGCCAGCCTGACCTACATAGCAACTGTGTCTTAAAAAAAAAAAAAAAAAGATAACAGTGTGCCCTTGCTGGACCCAGATACCTGGAAGCATCCACCACTACCTACACAACTCCCAGAGAGTAAGAACTTGAGCTGATGACCAAGAGGGCAGCCTAAGACTTTACGAAGGGAACATCTATCTGAGTACCTCATTTCCTACAGGAGATTGCATCCTACCTGATCACCTTTGAGAAGCATGATGAGTGGCTATCTTGTGCCCCAAAGACAAGGTGAGAAAGTTCTCAAAGGTGGGAATGGCAGGAGTCATGAGTTCTATTCACAGAATTCGAGGCCAGCCCTTTCCTTTCCTAGACCTCAGAATGGTTCCATCATCCTCTACAACCGCAAGAAGGTGAAATATCGGAAGGATGGTTACCTCTGGAAGAAGCGAAAAGATGGGAAGACCACCCGAGAGGACCACATGAAGCTGAAGGTCCAGGGCATGGAGGTAAGAGGATCTGGCATCCAGTCACCTGCCCTTGTCCCACCTCCCTCCACCCAGAGCTGGGCTCCAGCACTGCCTCCCCATTTCTAGTCACTTCTCTCCGCTCACTTCAGATCAGCTGACAGATCACTGAGCCCACTTTGCTTCCTATTCCCCTACCCCACAACACAGCTTCCCAGGCCTTAGAACATTGATGTCCAATCCCCTCAACTGTCTTACATTTTTCACAGAAGTCTAAACAATAATACTCTAAACTCAGGTTTCTCTTCCCAGTTCATTCCTTCTTCTCAGATGCATTCTTGCTCTGCCCTTGAATTTCTAGATAGTACTATAGCTTTAATCTGGCCCTCATTATAAAGGTCCAGTCCCACTCTTCCCTTCTCTCTGTCCCTTATCTATGACTTGGGGCTGCTGGAATTTGAAAGGTGGGGAATAGGTGGGGGTGAGAAGGGGGTTGAAGATGAACTGGTGGAAAGATTGGGATTCCTGCAAAGGGACTGAACAGAGGAAGACTTGGGGAGCAGACTAGCCCTCCCCCCACCCCAGCCTGTCTCCTGGCAGTGTCTCTATGGCTGCTACGTTCACTCTTCCATCGTCCCCACATTCCATCGGCGCTGCTACTGGCTGCTCCAGGTAAGGATGGAAGAGCTGATGGAGTCAGATTCTTCCTGGCTCTTTGAGGGACATGGGGGTCTGAAAAGATAAAGTGGAAAATTTGAAAGGGAATTAGATTCTAAAAGGGAAGAAAAGAGAAGGGGGGTTGGAGATGGAATGAGAAATTGGAGGGTGAGTTGAAGGGGGCTGCTTAGGAAGAAGGCAAAGATTAGGAAGCAGACCCTTTGGATCTCAAGACCCCATGGCTTTTGTGCTCTCAGAACCCTGACATCGTCCTTGTGCACTACCTGAACGTCCCAGCCCTGGAGGATTGTGGAAAGGGCTGCAGCCCCATCTTTTGTTCCATCAGCAGCGATCGGCGAGAGTGGCTGAAGTGGTCCCGGGAGGAGCTGTTGGGACAGCTAAAGCCCATGTGTAAGGAGCAGGGCAGGGATACAGCTCCAAGTGGAGAGTGGAAAGAGGGCCTCCCAAAGGCAGTGCAGTTCT